TGGGTGTCCCTTTGCTCACAGCTACATCTCTCCAATCTCTGCCTCTGTCTTCGTACGGCCTTCTTCCCGAGGTGTCTCTGTGTGTCTCCTCCTCTTATAAGGATACTAGACATTGGCTTTAGAGCCCAACCTAATGACCTCATCTTAATCAATTACAATGGCAAGGACCCTATTTCCGAATAAGGTTACCTTCACAGGTACTGGAGTTAGAATTTGAACATAGCTTTTTAGGAGACACTGTTCAACTCACTACACCCTGGTTTAATGGAAAGTTAATTATATTCATACACACCCTCCCCCCAAAAGAAAGGGGCAAAGAAACCTGCCCTTTGTCCTCTCTTCTCTCACATCCCCGTTGTTGTCCAGGCACTCAGCCAGGTGCCTGGGGGGCTCCTCAGCTTTCCCTCTGCCCAACCCTCTCAGCCACTGTCAGCCACCTTCACCTTGTCAGTACCTTACCTGAGGAATCCACCTCTGCGTTCAAAATCTTCTCCTTTACGCTGGAGCATCATACTAAGTGGGTGATATGCATTCGATCCTTGCGCCAGATCTATAAGCTAGGTATTCCTATTGCCCCATTTACAGATAAAGAAACCTGAGTTCAGAGGGATAAATAAAGAGCCCAAGCTTACGCAGCTGGTAAATGACAGAACCTGGTCATCTGAGGGGAAAGCCCATGCGTGGCCCTGTTTTCTGGGGGCTTCTCCACCCCCTTACTGAGCTCCCAGCTCCTCTCCTTTGCTCTTCTGGCAGGAGCTTCACCCTGTGCTCTCATAACTGGAGGGACTTGCCTCCCTCACAGCCCTTTCTCTCGGCATCATTCCTGTTTGTTTATATTCCTCTCTCCCCTCTAGACTATGAGGGCTTTCAGGGTGAGTACAATGTTGATTTCATCCCTGGGTTCCCAACTCCAGTACCTACCTGCAGAGCACACACAGCCTGTCGATGGTTAAATAAACGAATGCATTCATGGTTTTAACAGCCTGATCTAGGGACGTTACTTTTGTTTGTACTAGAATTCCCCAGGTTACACTGCAGTGAATACGATACAACTCTCTGGCTCTCTTAGAAGCAGCCAGAAGGTGAAATTAAATTAAAAAAAAAAAAGTTTCCCTAGTCCAATTAGCTTGGATAACTCTAGGTTAACCAACACTAAACCTACTTCCTTACTGCTGGACTTCACAGAACCTTAAATATTCTAACATGCTTCGGAATTGCTAAGAGGCTAGATAGTCTTCTGGATACTTCGTATTTGTTTTAATTAAGAAAACTGGTTTTTTACTTTTTAATTTTTTGAACAGTCCCAATAAATACTAAGCCTATTACAGAGTTAGAATATGCCGGGATGACTCACAGCCCCTCCTGGGTGGAGAGTCTCCCACAAAGCTAAGAGGAGGAGGGGGCTTCCGTCTAGAGCTGACTGTGGTCATCGCCGGTGGGCTGGGATGACTCTTCTCTCACCCTCTGGTCTCCAGTCTGCACCCACGTTCTCCTGTGAACTCTTCATTCTTGTTTTTGGTAGATTTCCCCCACTCTCATCAAAGCCCAAGTTTCCTGAGCTAAAAATGAAAGTGGATGGCCTAAAGCTTCCTGTACCTCATTCACCTCCACATTATCTTAGGGAAATTATGCCAATTATCACACCGAGGCTCAGGATTGAACAGCTACAACGTCTGGGCCGACGGTGATGGATGCGACCAATTCAAGGAGTGGAGGGCAGCTCCTCGGGTGGTGAAAGAATCATCTGGTTTGCCAGGAGATGCTCTCCCGTGGCAGACACAAAGTTCGGATCTCCGGTCGGGGTGCTCTCCTAGCATCTTTTTGTAAGAAGGACATTTCTAAGGGGGATTTTTTTTTAAAGCATGTATGGTTAATCTCGTTTTCTTATTGTCTTAATATAGAGAAATAGAGAGAAAACACCAAACATATAAAAATGGCCCATAATCCTCCTACCCAGTGATTTCCGTTGACCTTTAAAACCAATCAAAATGAAAGTAATACAATACAGGTAGGTCTAGACAATCCAAAGAGTTCAATAAGTAACAAAGTTAAAGTGAATCTCTTCCATCCCCTCCCACCCCTTTCTAAGCTCAGTCTCTCAACAGCTAATAGAGTTTTGTGGTTCCTTTAGAAATAGTGTACCTGGGAGAGCATAATGGCTTAGAGCAGGGCATCTCACACCTGATGGACGTTGAAATCACCTGCATAGCTTGTTAAATCACAGGTTGCTGGAGCCCATCCTAAGAGATTCTGATGCAACAAGCGGGAGCAGGGAATTTGCATATTTAAAAATTTCTCAGGTGGTGCTGAATCCTAGTTCTAGCACTTTCCAGCTGTGTGATTTTCTCACACGATAGCCTCTCTGCTTCATCTTCCTCTTCTGTAAAATGGGGCTAATGATGGTTGTGAGGATTAAGTGAATTAAAGTAGTTGAAAGGTTCTGCATATTAAGAACAATGCAACTGCGCTGTGATTCATGGAGCAGCCTGTAAATATGTACCAACTGCCATAGGGATATTTCTACATATTCTTCAGTACCGTGCTTTATTTACAGTAGTGATTTTTCATACGTTTACATATAGATATATTTAGTCCTTTTGAATTACGCTTTCCATAAAATCATAGTTCAGATGTACATTCTGGAGGTTACTCTGGTTCTCTGTAAGTGACCACACTGGTTTCCAAGTATTAGCTAATATAACCAGTGCAGCAAGAGGCATCCTATACCTGTCCTGACAGACATTCTGTGAGCATATTCATGGAATAAATTCCTGGAAGGGGAGTTGCTAGACCAAAGTATGTGCGTATTTTACGTACTGGTTGTTGGAAAATTTAAATATGTGTTCTTGGGAAGGCTACATTTGTTCTAAGCCTAGGTCTGATGTAATCTAAGGACAAAGGGGGGTTTCTCTGTGGACTTTGTTGTCTTTATCTTCAAAATGAGGATGAGATAGCCAACCAACAATATTGACATACAGCACTGAGGTATATGACTCAAATGACCATGGACCGCTTGTTGAGTACAGAGCAGAAGCTGAGGATCCAAAACTGGTTGAAGCATGCTCTCTGTGCTCAAGGAGCCTTGATCCAGGATCAACTCCCAAGAACACAGACGCATTGCAGTCCAGCGTGAGAGGTGCATCCATAGAGTAATGTGTACAGATCCAAGATGGCACCAAAAGGGAGTCAGGTGGGCTGAAGGAATCAGGGAGAGCTTCAAGAGGACGGGGCAGCTGTGTTTTGCACAGTGAGTGAGAGTGGACAGGAGGGGGGGTCACTTCAGGAAGGAAAAACAGTACGTGTAAGAGCGTGGAGGCTTCCTAGCCCCTAACACAGCACCTGATGTAAGGCAGGTGCTCAAGGATTGTTAGCTGAACACAATCTCAATCCGCGTGGGTTGTGCAACCTACAGAAAGCTAGTGCCTTAGGCGCTCTATGATCCAACTCAAGACGGAGAATTCCTTCAGGTGGGCCTGCTACATTCCTGAATTTGAGATTTCAGGTTCATGAATAGCTTAGTAAATTCCTAATGAATTCACGCAGTCAAGACAAGATCTGCCTTCTTATACTTCTGATCACCAGGTTGGAATATAAGTATTGAAATAGCCTTCAGATGGGTCCTGGCCTTGCCTGCAACACCTACACCCTGGGTAGAAGTCCCAGGATTCTGAAAGTAGAATGATCATAGCCACTTCCTTCTACAAAGATTCCATTCCCCAGTGGACATTCCTTTAGCTCCCACTGCCAGCCTAGAAAGTCTACTAGTCCAGTCAGTCAAAACAATGAAAAAACAGCCAACGATATTGACATACAGTACTGAGGTATAGGACTCAAATGACCATGGACTATTTGTTGAGCACAGATCAAGAAGCTGAGGATCCAGAACAGCCTTTTAGTGTAGCACTGTGGGTTTTGCAAAACTTTTTCACCAAATGGTAAAGGAAAAGCGGACATGAATGAAAATGTCAGGGGATATTTGCCATCAGTAGTTTCAAGGGACAAAGAATATTCTGGTACAGGCTGCTCTTCAAATATGTCCAAGGATGAATTAGAAAGCACACATCAGAAAGGTGTGTTTGTTGTTGCAGTCTGCAGATGGTTTCAGACAAGGGTTATCAAGACCACAGTTGGTAAGACAATATGGTCCACTGCCACGGAGTAAAAGAAGCAGGTACAGTCTTCAAGGTGACTGCAAAGTATTCCAAAGCCATTATCTCATTCAAGTAGAGGAGGGAGAAGAAGATCTTTGAGGTGCTCTGGTTAATCTGTTCCATCATCAGATCCTGACTGACGACAAACCAGGCCGTTCACCGCCTCACCCCTACTCACTTCACCACCATGATTACCAGCCACAGTCCCCTGCCAGAGATCCCTGCTGTTTCCCAAGCATGGGTTTAAAGTCTGAAAGACTGACTTGCATCCAGGCAATGCCCCTTTATAGCTACACAACCACAGGAAACTCAGTCAACCACCCTCAGACCCAGTTTCTGTATCATGGAGGTAATGTTGACAGGATTAAACAGTAACCTTTTTTGGAAAGGTCTAACTCAGAACCTCAATCATACGGACTTTTGTAAAAATAATGCCCTCAATGCCACTGAAAGAGAGAATTGCCACCACATATGGATATTCCTTATCCCCTTTTAGGTTGGATGGCCTCTAATCTCATGCCTTAACTATGGGCTTCATTGATGATCCCACATGGGTGCTAATGTGCTAATGAGAACTCGGCAGGAAAAGTAAGATGACTGAATGAGTTAGGACTTTTTGTGCTTGCCGAGGCTAAACCCGACTTGAGCTGACCTAAGGAGAAATGTATGTGGCGAATTACAAATAGTAACGTTTCATGAAATAATGGGTTGGAATTGCAACTGAGCCTAGCTAGGGAAGGGCCTGGAAACAAGGACTGGAAGTTAAGTAAACCTGATAATTGGCTCTCTCCACTTACTCTCCCTGCTTCCCTTCATGTACTTGATTCATTGTTTTCTGTTTGCTTGCAGCTTTTCTCTGCTCCCAGTTCCCAGGGAAGAACATGTAGCCCCAAGGATCATGGCTCCACCTGTTAGAGGACCAACCAGAAGCTGAGACCATCAATCCTGCTGCTGGTCCTAGTTTCAGATTCCTAGAAGATAGAATCTGATTCCTGCAGCTTGAGTCTTCCTTGCTCTAATCAGCTCTGGGTGGTAAGTAAAGTCATAGAATGACTAATGGCTACTGGGGGCTCCTGTGCATCTTGGATAATCTATAATATAGGGACAAATTGATGAGTTTCAGAAGACAGTAAAATGTGAGAGGTTTGGAAAGAAGTTGTAGACTAAATGTTGCTCAGTCCCCACTCTCTGTAAAGTGCTGTAGAATATCCAGGTGTGTACATCCAACTTTGGAGGACTATCTGTATTTACATGAGAAAGTTGGACTAGATCAATGGTTTTCAGCCTTGGCTTATCATTTGCATGACGTGGGGACCTTTTAAAAATCTTAATATCCAAGCAACATTCCCAGACCAAATAAATCAGAATCTCTATCTGTGGGATCCTGGTAGCAATTTTTTTTAAGTTCTTTAGATGATTCACTTTTCAGCTGAGGTTCATAACCATTGGACAAGGTCAGTGATTCTCAAATGAATCACCTCAGTCTAGTTAAAATGAAGATTGTGATTTAATTGGTTCAAAGTAGGACATGGGATTCTCTAGTGCTACCAAGATCCAAGGTATTGTCAATGCTGCTGGTCCATAGATTATACTTTGAGTAGCAAAGTACTGAATTATCCCTGTTGTCCTAGTCTAGTCTTGAGATTTCAAGAAAGATTATTTTCTCCAGAAATATTTATTTTCTGCTCTGTACTGGACCTTGTGCTGAATACCGAGGTGTAGAAATCTAGTAAGTTTCTGCCACAGAGGGGTTTGCCTGTAGTCCACAAAGCTGGAGAGAGGCTAGAGAAAATATTGTGTGTACACTACTTTTTCTCAGCTGTGTTTGGAGGTCTGTTTATCAGGGATGTTTGTTTGTTTGTTTTGGTCTGGTTTGTTTTTTAAGAAAACATCCGTACTGAAAAGGCAGCTGGCTTCCCCGACAGGAGAAAAGCTAGCTCAAGACATGGAAGGAAGGGAGGACATAAAATCTAGCAATTTGGGGTAATATAAGCAAAACATGGAGTCTGTGATGGAGAGAGCAGTTTGGCCCTGAGCAAAAACGACAGCAAAGAAACCATAGCTGGGGAATAAGAAAATGACTATGATGGTGATAAGTAGGTAGGTAGGTAGATAGATAGGTAGGTAGATAGATAGATAGGGACTCCATGAAAGGATCTCCTCATTTTTCAGTGGATTCAATGATTAATGAACCAAACCCAATCTAAGAGATCATGAACATGTTTTAGGACATAACTGGAGTCCCTAATAATAACAAAGTTGTTCCAATGCTTACGCTCATAATTCATTAAGCTACTCTGTGCCAGAAAGCCAGGAACACCAGGACAGATTATGATTTCTTGTTTTCATGTCATAGAGCATGAGTCTAAATAGTAGAGGAGGCAAAAGGCCATAATAAATGACCTGGTTTTCATTAAAATATTCTCCGAGTGCCTGGTAGGTGCCAGACACTGAATTTGACCAAAATCTCAACATTGCAATTTGAGGATTATTCATATGCTGTTATCTTTCGATGACAAGAGCAAGCTGCTTGTCTACCCATGGTCACGTTTAATCCTTCCCAAAACCTGGGATGGAGGAGTCAGGGTGGTGATATCTTTTGTTGATGGTGATGGTCGTGTTGGTGATGATGGTGACAGTGGTGGGGTTGGGATATATTTTCTATTTAAGAAAAAATTTTTAAATGGGCTCCAAAGTATTGAAGGACCATATAAAGTCCCACAGCTGGCTAGTAGCCAAGCTGGTGCAAGAACAGAGATTCCCAAATTCCAAACTTGGGTTCTGTCCATTTAACCATGCTGAGTAACTAGAGTATTAGCTAGTTGTTAAAGTTTAGTTTCGGGTTAGCCATCCTAAATACATGGGGAAAGATGAACTAAAACTACAGGACCTGTAAAATACTCTGGCTTTGTGTATTATGACAGAGAGAGCTTCAAAATGACAGGTCCTGAAGTTTCAGATTCTTCATTTCTAGTTTGCATTCTTTTCTCCTGGCAAGGAAGGCTGGAACAAGAAGCAGTCATAAAGGACACGTTTCCCTCTGTCTCACAAATGTATTTCTGTGCCAAAGTTAGCTTCTACCTTTATAACTAATACACATAAAAAGAGAATATTTAGACAGGCACTTCACAAAAGTGTGGTTAGCTTAGGAAGTCAGAGGGTTCTAAGTGCCCCCAAGAAAATGCCATGCTTTTCCAACAGCTTCAAGCTCCCCAGCCTTACAGCATCCCATCTGGTTGGACTCCAACCCCACTCCTCACAGCAGCCAGGGTGAGTCTATCCAAAATGGGAATGTGATTGCCTCTTTGTAGGGTTGAAAATTCTCGCTGGCTCCCTAGAAGAAAGCTCAGGCTCCTTAGCCGAGCACATGATGCCTTTTGTGCCGTGCCTCTTGCTGGCCACTCCAGCCTTGTCTCCTTTCCCTCCTTTCAACCTTCCGTAATGTGCTTCAGCAAAAGCAAGTCACCTATAGCTGCAGCCCCCCTTACAGAATGCTTGGCGTGATGCTTCTTGGCCTTTGATTATCGCTGGTTCCACTGCGGGAAGGCTGCCTCTGCCTTCTTCACCCAGCAGGTTGTTACTCAGCCTTAAGGACTCACCTTATCCAAACACTTCCTTGACCAGCCCGAGACTAGAGCAGAGGAGTCACCTTATGCTGCATCTGTGAGTTTTTAAAAGCAATTCATCTGTTGGTGGACACTTAGGTTTCTTCTATGTCTTGGCAACTGTAAATAATGCTGCTATAAACATTGGGGTGCACATATCTTTTCATTAAAAATTAACATTTTCATTTTTTGCAGATATATACCCAGGAGTGGAATTGCTGGGTCATATGGTAGTTCTGTTTGGGGGTTTTTGAGAAGCCTCCATACTGTTTTGCACAGTGGCTGTACCAATTTATAGTCCCACCAACATTGTACAGGGGTTCCCTTTTCTCCATATCCTCGCCAACCTTTGTTATTTGTGGTCTTTGATGATGGCCATTCTGAAAGGTGTGAGGTGATATCTCATTGTGGTTTTAATTTGCATTTCCCTGATGATTAACAGTGTTGAGCATCTTTTCGTGTGCCTGTTGGCCAAATGTATGTCTTCTTTGGAAAAATGTCTATTCAGATCTTCTGCCCATTTTTTAATCGGGTTGTCTGCTTTTTAATGTTGAGTTGTATGAGCTATTTATATATTTTGGATATTAACCCCTTATTGTTCATATCATTAGCAAACAAACAAAATCTCAAGCTCCCCAGATATGGACAGTGTCTGGAGCATAGTAAGCATAGCAATTGCTCAATAATTTGTAAAGCTAAATTCATAACTATTTTTCATTCATTTAAAAAATAGACTTTATTTTTAGAAGTTTTAGATTTATCAAAAGATTGAAAATATAGTACAGAAAATTTCCTTATACCCCACACTGTTTTCCCTATTATTAGCATCATGCATGAGTTTCATATATTTATTATAATTAATGAACCAATATTTATGCCTTATTATTATTTAAAGTCCATAACTTATTCAGATTTTCTTAGTTTTCATCTCTGGCCCTTTCTGCTCTGGGATTGCATCTTGGATACCATAGTACATTTTGTTGTCATGTCTCTGTAGGCTGCTCTGGGCTGTGACAGTTTGTCGCTTTCCTTGTCTTTGATGACCTTGACAGTTTTGAGGAGTCAGCTATTTTGTAGGATGCCCCTTTATGGGAGTTTGATGTTTTTCCCATGACTAGTCTAGAGTTATGGGGTTTTGAGAGGAAAACCACAGTGGCAAAGTGCCATTTCCATCATACCATATCAAGGGTACTTACTATCAATATGATTTATGACAGTGGGTGTTGACCTTGATCACACGACTGGGGTAGTGTTTGTCAGATTCCTCTACTGTAAAATTACTAATAATCGTCCCTCCCTTTTCACATATTCTTTGGAACAAAGTCACTGGGTACAGACCAGACTTAAAGAGTCTGGCATTATGCTTCCCCCTTCCTTGAGGGCAGAGTATCTACATAATTGTTTGGAATTCTTCTATACAGGATATTTGCCCCTCCTCCCTGAGTTATTAATTTATTTAATCATTTATTTAGATAAGTATGGACTCATGAATATTCATTTTTGACTTTGGGTTTTAATCCAACCCCACATAATTTTGTTGCTTAAATTATTCTAGCTTTGGCTATTGGAATTTCTTTCAGTTGGCTCCCGTAGTCCTTTGACATCCCCCCATTGGGGTGAGCTTTTTAAATTTTTAGACCCTCCCTTACTTTCTGCTCCAGGCTCATTCTGCATATTTCTAGCAGCTCAAGTCCTAGAGCATTTCTCCAAGAAGCTCTGGTTCCTTTTAATGGAGAATGGTGTTAGAAACCAAGAACTGGGTACTAGCTGTGCTCATGACTACTGGGGTGTTGTCTCTTTTAGGTCTCCTCAGTTAACCGAGCAAAAAAATATGTATTATATAAATGTGTATGCTAACTCATGTATATATGCGTTTATACATATACACTCATGTATATACCCATGTAAATATTTTAATCTGTAACCATCTGTAGCTATAGTAAGCTAAGTATCAGTTCATATTGATATCTCCAACTTTAAATCACTATCACATGAATTACTCCAGCCTCCACATCTTGCTTATTTGTAAATTTCCACACCAACAGTGAGAAGCTTAGTTCCCCGCCATCCATTTACTTAATTGCTTCGTTCCAGTGCACGTGCATAGCAGTATCAGAATTGTTAACCTGTAACCCTTTGGAAAACAACTTTATCAACCTGGGTACAGTGTTTACGTCATTCTTCTTGCCTTTAATCTTGAAGACTCTACTCATTTCCAGAGCTACTTAGGTCAGCACCTTTTCCTCCCACCCCGTTCAGTGAGGTTGTCTTACACATCTGTTAACACAGTTAGATTTTCTTGTCACAGTCCTACATTCTTTCCTGGGATCCCCCTGATTTCCTAATGATTTTTTTTCATGTGCGTGCATTATGGTTCCTTCTTTGTGCTGTACAGTTCTGTTATTCATTCATTTTTCATCATCTGTT